ATATCTAAAAAGAGTACAGAGAAGTGGAGGGGGGGGAGGATCCCCGTCTAACCCCAAGGGGTTTCTCTCCCCACATTACAACTCACACAAAAAATTGTCTCAAAAATTGTAGGTATACCCAAAAAATCATATAACCAAAAATAAGTAAACTTGTGAACGTGTAAGACTTGGTAAGACAAATAAAAAGCATGTACAAAAGGCGTCTTCATAAAAGAATAGTCCTCCATCAGCGTAATCTCAAAAAGCCATCCAACACAAAACCGTGTGAAGAAATCTACAAATGGAGAGCGCAAAACCGAAACAGGAAAATCGAAAACCTATCATCCAGAATGCCAATAAACAGGAAGAATTAAAAACGTACATAAGGCAGGTTTAGATTGTCTCCAATGATGAGTCTGAGTCTTTTAAGATGAAAGATGAGCAGGAGGGTGAATCCCAACGTGACAAACCTCCTCAGCACCTTTGGCAAGCCAGTCAGCTGGTGAGTTGCCCTCTCTATGAATGAAACTCCAATTTACCTCTAGATGCTTCTCAGCCATTACACCAATACATTCATGATACGTTTAAAAGTGCATAAAGTATCCCACGTGGGTGGAGAAATACCCAATAAAATATCAAAGAGCAATTTAGAATCCATTTCCACCTCTAATTTATAAAAATTGAAAACACTAGCTATCGTTAAAGCCAGAAATACCCCCCAGCATTCTGTAGCCAAAGGGTTATCAGCCTCAACAGGGGAGGAGAAAAAGCAGAGACATCTACCTTCAAAATCCCTAAAGATTCCCCCAACCGCAGCATAATCTGGAAGCCCACAGCCATCCACATTTAATTTAACATAATTTGGTGGGGGAGGAGTCCACCTAACGAGCCGAGGAGGCTTTAAAATGGTAACATCAGTGGAAACAATTCTTAAGACTTTGTTATAATAGGCAATCACATATGCAACTGCCATAGAAGCTGTTGGGGAAGGGGGGGAGTATGGTATTTAAAACTATTTCTTGCATTTCAAAGAAACCAAAGAACCAATAAAGGTAGGGGAAACCCCCCTTTACTATCATCAAAATCTATCCAACGCCATAGATAATTGCTTAAAGAGCCTCTATGCATCCACGAAAAACCAAATAAGAAGCAATCATATCCCAAACTTTTAAGGAAAAGGCACATTCGAAAAAAATGTGCCTCGTGTCTTCCTCCTCCATTTTGCACATACTACATCCGGAGGCCATTTTTAAACCTTTAAGCTTGAGAATATCATTAATAGGAATTAAAGATGTGAGATAATGCCAAAGAAAAAAGGAGATAGAGGGAGTTAACAATTTATGTCAAATCCACTTCCCCCAAAACCAATCA